ACACATCAAGCATTTTATCATCTGAGCTAGCTCCCCAGCCCCTTGCTGTCTTTCTCTGGCTTTTCAGTTAAAAGTCTGATAGCCTTGTAGTCCAGTCTGGCCTCAAGCTCACCTGACTCCTGATCTTCCTGCTTCGATCTCCCAAAGTACCTGGATGACAGGCATGTGTCCCCATGCCTTGTTCATGCCATGCTGGAGACTGAACCCAGAGCTTTGTGTATGCTAGGCAAGTACTCTACCAGCTTAGCTAAAGTCCTAGTCCATAGAAATGTTCTTATCTAAATCTGGTTGTGACTGGCTAAAATGGTTATGTTTTAAAAGTCATCATCTCTATAATAGGTAGGATCATTTAATAGTCTTTTTTACTGGATCATGGCAGTAATTACTCCTTCGTAGAACCGGACACTTTACAGCAACCAGAACCTCCGCTAAGCCCAAAGGGTTAAATAGCTTATACAACAACTGGCTCAATAACTACAAATAACAAAAAAGAATGTTAGACCCTAAGTTTGAACATCATGGTACAGCTGGAGTCTCCAGTATCAACTTTTCTTTCCCACCTCTACTATACAAAAGTTAACTAGTATTAATAATCTGTGGCCACCACACAGAATGTTCTTGCAAATAAAGACAGTAGAATAACTAAAATCAAACTGATCCTCATGAGAAGTCTTTATGTATATAAGTCACATTTTTCCCCCTAAACTTCCTTTGCCTTGTCACAAATACAGTTTTGGAAATGGGGGAAATTTAAAAATCACTCAGAAAAGCCCTGTCTTTTAAGGATGCCCTAGAAGGTGTAAACTGAATGAGAATACTTTTCATTTCGTTTCCTTTCATTTTGTTTTTTGAGACAGGGTTTCTCTGTATAGCTCTAGCTGTCCTAAATCTCACTCTGTAGAACAAGCTGGCCTCAAACTCAGAGATCAGCATGCCTCTGCCTCCTGAGCACTGGGTTTAAAAAAGTGTGCCATCATCGCCTAGTGAGAATGCTTTTCAACAGCAAGATGAGAAGGGTAACTTCTCTCCTCTCCCACCAACTTGTACATTTTTGCTACTTTATTTCAAAAGCCTAGGAAAGGCTATCAAAAATTATGTAACATTAATGAATGCATTACATCTTTATGGGTCTTTTCTGGCAACACACAGTTCTTTTACAACTACCCTGCAAGAATTATGAAAATGAGAGAAGTGAAAATAACTACATTATGGTAGGTATTTTTTAAAATAGTTTCATTAATCTATAAAAAAAAAATAAAAAAGCCAAGCATGATGGTATGTGCCTTTAATGTGAACAGTCAAGAGGCAGAGGCAGGCATACTTCTATGTGTTCTAGGCCTGCCTTGTCTGTAGAGCAAGCCCCAGGTCAACTAAGACTACATAGTGAGATCCTGTCTCGATTACTTTTCCTTTATTACATTTTTTATTTAATTGCTTTTATTTGTTTATTTTTCTGTGTGAAAGAGACTAAAAACTGAAGCAGGATAATTCCCTCTATGTTAGCATGAACCTGATATGACACTAAACACTATTTCCTGACTTTCCCTAAGTTCTGACCTACTTCACTGTCTCTTATATGCTTGAAATGAAGCACTGTTAGGGGAACCTAGGCTTTTCTTCTTAGCAAACTTTTAAAGAATCTTGTGATGTTACAAAGACCATATTTAAAAGTAGTTCTGATTTTAATTTTGTAAAAACATAGCAGAAGATGAATAATATTTATTGAGATATAATCTACATATCAATGTCATCCATTAAAGAGTTCACTGGGTTTTAGAATTTGGCAGCCACTGCCACTATTTCCAAAACATCTCATTTCCCTGGAATAAAGCCTTGACCCATTTTCAGTCCCTCTATTCCTGCTATCCTCACCTTTAGCATACATTAATTTATTTTCTGTCGGTATGGACATTGTCATCTGAACATTTCATATGAATGGAATCATACAAAATGAGCCTTTTTATATCAGATTTCTTTCACCAAATATGTTTCATTAAAATCAAAGAGGTCTGTTTTTCAGTTCTATATATTTAGGTTTAAAATGTTTTTAAAACCTCAGTAGAGCATAAACAATGGCTTTATAATCTTAGTGACAAATATTTCAAGACAGAACAAATATTTCATACAAAGCTCATTTGTAACAATAATAAATAATGGAAACATGTATCCCAAACAACCTTCATAACTTCAAACTATTTGATAGATTTCTCATGTTTTCTATGCTTCAGTGCTACCATCTTATATTTTTTTTCTTATATTTTTACATTTGTTTTGATGGAGGGGACTCAGTGGGGCTTTCTTTGTAGACCAGCCTGACCTTGAACACAGAGATCCATCTACCTCTGCCTCCTGAGTTCTGGTATTAAAGGAGTGTACCACCACACCTAGCAAGTTTTTACATTTGTTTGTTTGTTTGTTTGTTTTCAAAACAGGGTTTCTTTGTATAGTCCTGTTTGCCCAGGAACTTGCTTCAGGGTGGCTCTGTACTCAGAGATCTGCCTGTCTCTGCCTGCCAAGAGCTGGGACTAAGATAAGCACCATTACTCCTGGCCAAGTTTCTACATTATTAATGTTATATTTAAAATGGTGTTTGTGAAAGCTGCCTTAGTCAATCTAGGTACCATAGGCCCATGTAACTAATCCTTAAAACTTAGATCATAATATAAAAAAAATGACTGATAAGTACCTGGATTCTGTGTGATTTCTTTCTTTCTTTCCTTCTCTTCTTTTTTTTTTTTTTTTTTTTTTTTTTTTTTTTTATGTGAGTTCTGTAGCACCTGTCGTTAACCCCAGTGCTCTATGATGAGCTGAGGAGATGAGGTTATCCAGAAGCTTACAGGCCAGCTAAGCTAGCATAGGCAGCATCACACAACAAAAAGACACTGCCTTAAACTAAGTGGATAAGGGCCATCACCTAAAGTTATACTCTGAACCTTCGCATGTATGCAGTGGGACCAGCATGAAATAAGACACACACACACATCCCTCACATATACATACACAATTTTTAGAATATTTGTTGAATGAATGAGCTCCTGTTCAGAAGTGCTTTTACTGTATGAATATATCAAATCGTTTCCTACAGTAAGCCACCAGTTCCAGCACAGCCAAGGCCTCATATGAAACCTTGTTTTATTTCTTAAAAAATTAGTCATTAGAATCAAACAACTAAATCTGCCCAAGAGTAGCAACAGTTTAACTTCACCCTCACCTATGCTTAATACCTCTTAGAAGCTAAGGGAAACAGTATGAATTCATCTGCCTAGGTATTCTTTCATAGTGTATGACCTCCATCTGCTATATAGGAAGCAATGTTCTAGGTCAGCAGATCTCAGCCTTCCTAATTCTGTGACCCTGTAATACAGTTCCTCATGTTGTAATGACCCTCAATCATAAAATTACTTCCATTGCTACTTTATAACTGTAATCTTGCTGTTACAAACCTTAATATAAACATCCGATATGCAAGATATCTGATATTCAACCCCTGTAAAAGGGTTGGTTATTCAACCCAGGGGATCATGAACCACAGGTTGAGAACCACTGTTCTAGATGCTTACCTTCACCTCTATAGTATTTGCATTCTATATAGGAAAGAAACAAAAATAAGATACTGTTAAATACTCAGAAATTCCTGAGACCCAGGGCATCACTGAGATTTGTTATTTGATAGGCTTCTTTGTTAAGATTGACATCTGAACAGGTAAAATAGCATACTAGAAAAATGAACAGCAAACATGAAGGTTCTGCATTGCGGAATGGTCAGTCTATGTTATCTCTACGAGCATGTGTTAATTAAAATTAATATTGTCCTCTAGAAATATAGCTCAGCATGAAACCGATCAGGGAATCCATCCCCATTCCTACGCAGTAACATTCCTCACTCCCCCACCACTTCTAACTGACAATTATCTCAAAGGATATCCCCTCCAGGATATTTTTCTCCATCATTTCCTTTCTCACTCCATCATACTATCAAGGCAATATAATCTCTTTTTCAAAACCTCCCAACTAAAGGCAGGTGTGTCGATGCAGGTCTGTAATCCTGAGATTGGGAATTAGCAGATAGCCACAAATAGGGGTGTGGGTGTGTGTGTGTGTGTGTTAAGGTGGAATACCAACCTTTGTATCATCAGCACCTAGTAAAGTGTTTGGTGCCAAGGAGGCCTTCAGTAAATAATTGTAGAGAATGCACGATCTTCAAGTCAAACAACAACCAAAAATGAACGATCTTAATGTTGAGTCTTAAAAACAACAGACACTAGAAGGCGCTCACGTGAGTTGAATCAAGGAAGTTAAGGGGTCAGAAGACTAGCGAATAGAGAAGTTGCTCAAGAACTCTTTCAAAAATATGCTGAGACATGTCACCATAAATAATATAAATGAAACACTGGCCATAAGCAGGGTGTGGCGGACGGTTCTTTTGGTCTTTCCAACTCTAAGATCCCCAACACCTGCCCCTCCCTTCCCGCCCCCAATCAGGGTGCTCTCAATTAGGGTGTCCAGGTGGTGAGGCTCTCACCTTCCCATTTGTGGGCGGCTCCTGGATGTAGATGTTACTCATCTTGCTCAGTGCTCAGGACACCGTTCGTTACTGTGACCGCGAGCGGAAGGCAGGTCTCCGGCGATGGCCACCTGTTACACAATTCTTTACCTGGGTACTCGGGGAAAACTTCACTCAGTCAGAATCGGACAAGACAGCCGTACTGAGCACTAGTTACTCCCCAAACTAGCCCCTCATGGACGCCGCCATGTTGCTCCCGGACCGGAGCACCGCTAACTCCGGGAGGGGAGACTTCCCTGTCCTTAGGGAAACTAGCAAAGACTATAAGACCTCTGCAACTTTAGAGAACTTATCGTGTCATTTATAATATTAGCTAGAGGGACAATCTGTAAATCCAGGTGCTGCCTCCAGGTCAGGTGTTTGCAGATAGCACTCACCTCCCGAGGCTGGCCGAAATGGTTCCGACCACGTGTGCTTCGCGGTAGGACACCCCTGGAAACTGCATCCGTAGCCACTTAGTTCCGCCAACCCTGGATGTGCATCCGGCCTTCCCCTGCCCTATGAAGTTGTAGTGGCCGGGTGGGAGAGATCCCGCCGAGTGTGCGTTGTCCTCGCAACGGACCTGATCCTAACGCGATCTCTAAAGGCCAGGACTCCAGCGACCCTACTCACCTGCGTCATGGCAGTCCCAGGTGAAGATCAACCGCAGGGCTCTCTCACTCCTGAGGAATGAGGCGAGCAGGGGAGTTCAGGGCACGAGGGTGGCAGGGAGCACTTGGGGATTCTTGCGAAGGCCTAAAAATTTAGAATTGGTTGGCTTACATAAAAAAGTTTACCCTACCAGTTCAAAGAGGGATGGGAAAGACAGGGAAAGATCATTTCTGTCATTCATGGGCAAGCCCAAATTGCACAGGGTTACAGGGGAAAGTATATTGTAAGAGGGACAAGGGACTTGGTGACAATGAAAACTGTAGGCCTTCAGGGGACAAGTTGCCCAGAAGACTGTAACTTTCACAGGATTTCAAAATAAAATTCAAAATGTGAACGTTTGCCGAATCCAGGTGGCTATACACATTGTACTGAAAGTCACCAAGTCAAGAAGCGTACCTAGGGTTTGTTCTAGCTCTTCCAGTCTGTAGTTACAGTGTGGCTGTAGGCCGGTGGCTGTGCCTTTATGGGCCTCAGTTTCCAGAAGGTGCTTTTTTGAATTATATCTAAGATTCTTTTTAGGCTCCACTTTTGCGTTCAGAGGTTTCTAACCTAGAAACGGCAAACTGAGCTCCAGAGGTGTTTTTGTTTGCCGCTCCAATTTACTAGGGAGCCACAAGAACTTCCCCATGCCGACTTTGTCAGAATGTGTTTCTGCAAAACCCTATTATCAGGCAGGTGTTTTTAAGAGATATATCCGCCTTACATCTTGGAGATTCACAATGCATAGTACTGTAGGAAAGACCCTGAAAATATTTATGAAGCCCCAACTTTGCTTAAAACTGCCCCTTCTCGCTACTGTTTGACCCCTGTCTTTGTTCCGTGGCAGCCTTTTCTGAACTTTATTCTAGAGACAGCTGTTGCAGGGTGGGGGTGGGGCTGCTTTCCTAACTTCTGCAGTTTGCAGAGGAGCACACCAGGAACTGTGAGAAGAGAAGTGACTGTACATTCTTTATTGAGTGTGTGTCAGTGAGCATGATAGACACCCTTGCTCTCTTGCTCAACAGAGAAAGGGAGGAATTTACAGAAAGTAGAACTATTGCTGCGGCAAGCAAAAACAGTTCGGACACCTAACAGGATACAGAGAGGACAAAACGGATGTTCCAGATGAGAGCTAAAGAAATGTGAGAGGGCAGGGAACCTGCAGGGAGAGCGCAAGGATACAGAAAGGAAGAGGAAGTAGAAGAGGAAATGAAAGATACCTGCTGTGGCTAACCATCAGCTAACCTGAGAGAAATCAGAATTAACTAAAGAGATAAATCAAAGTATCCAACTTTTACTATGTAACCCATGTATCTGATACTATGTCAAACATTGTAATTTTTTTTTCTTCCTTTAACAACCACTGCTGTGAGATAGCTGTTGCTAGTCTCACTTCACAGATGGAGAAATAAAGTAACTGGCCCATTATAAGAGCTAATGTAGGTTATCTGAGCTCTTCACCACCATGCATGCAAATGCATTCTCCAACATATCCATGGCACAAGAGATTTCCGGAGACTGAAGGACCTTACAAGCAAAAATAAAGTGTTAATAGACAGTAGGAAACCACTTAACGGATTTAAGAAAACTTATATTTTAGGATACAGTAACCTAGAGGAGAGTTAGTTAACTTAGAGGACTGTTGGTACTTAAGGGTGATTCTGGTGAGTTATGTTACCATTGAGGATGTGGTCTCATTAAGAGAAGCAGCTAACTTGGAGCTGTGATGGTAGTGGTAGAATTACTAAGAACTGATGGCTTTGATGGGGTGGGAACTGAGATTAGCCTGGTTCTTGATGTTAGCTCATTGAGGAGGCCTCATAACTGGGAAGACGTCCCGTAAGATCAGAGTTGAGAGACAACAATGAGATCATTCTGAAGCTTGTGTTGAGGTAGGTCTGACACAGGAACAGAAGTGGCCAGTAGACAGCATGGGAATAAACATATACTAGGCACGAAGTCAGAGTCAAAAACAGCACTTATTATAGGGATAAAGGGATAAAGCATGTGGGATTGTCCAGACACAGTGGGTAATGTGTGAAGGGAAGACCTGACCAGAGCCTAGGAATAGCACCATTTAAGGGGATAGCAGAGAAAGATGAGCCTACACAGTACTTGCCTGGGCATTTCCAGAGGCTCTGGTGACCTCTGCATCACACAATTGCACCCAGAGTTGGTCTGCTGTCACTGTTCATTATTTGACCAGGCGCTGGGGCACCCGTGTGGCTTCAGCACACCAGGAGACAACACCATAAAACTTTAGGAATGAGAATGTGCTCCTTAAGAAAAGGGACAAAAGCGACTTTTCTTCTCACTTTGTTTGAGATGCTCTTAAACTTGAGACCAGTGGTTTTTTTTTTAAATGTTAACCTTTCAATTCAAAATAATGTTTCAAAGTATAATAATAAATTGTGTCATTAAGCCAGATGGAACGACTTACATAAACTGCTTAAACCCACCAAAAAAATCAAGATAATAGGCTTGACAGGTGGCACAAACGCACAATGCAACTGCTTTAGAAAATGCAGACACAGAAGGTGTTAAGATAATTTCTTGGATGATCGATCCAGACACTGCATGGAAAGAAAATGGGGCTCCATTGAGGTGATCATCAAGAAGGACAAGTATTGTGTCATGCTCCTTTATTTTAGGTGTGATGGATTCAGCTTGGGGTGATTCTGCTCCTGGTTATTATAAGGTATAACTATAGAGTAATGAGGCTGCTTTTCACAAACCACCAGCCTTGTCTGCTGCGGTGGTCACGTGCTTCCACCACTGTTTCCCCGCATTGTATGCCAGCTTAAACCATTATGTAGGTAACAATGAGATACTGAAGACCTTAGGAAAAAAAAATCTTAGACACTTAGTCATTTGACAAATGGCATTGAGCATAAGATTCAGTGAAGTTTACTTTCTTTGGAACATTTCTTTGCTCCTTCACGGTTGTTCCGTTTAGCTCAGCCGTTGAAGTTTTCTGTCTCTCAGTGAAGTCTGTGTAGCCAGGATAGAGGATGACAAGGGCTGAGTCAGCATTCAGTCTCGCATCCCTTCAGCACACTGCTGAAGCATCTACATAATAACAGAAGTGAAAAGTCACACCACAACCCATTTTCCTCATTCCTCGGCCATACTCTAGGAACTTCTTTTCTCTCATACGTGGCTGCTGAAAATAATGTTCATGAATCAAGTCTGATTCTATCATTCCCCTGGGGGTGGGGGGCAGTCTGTGGATTGTGTGATTCTCTGTAAGCCATTTAACCTTTCATAGGCTCTTTCCTTGTCCCTATAAGTAAGGGGACAGCATCTTGAATTTCTTCAGGCTTCTAAAATATTCAAGTTCCCTTCTCTGCAAGAATGATGTATGTAGCCTAAGCATGACCAATTCTTTTCTACCTTTTCCTCCCCTTCTTATATATTCTCCAATGATGAAAAACAAAAACTAAAACCGCCAAACACCTGACTGCTGCTCTTTTCTGACCTCTCAGATGGTTTTCACCTGTGCTGTGTGGCCTTGTCATCTCTTCATTATTGGTGTTCTTATCTTGAGGACCATTGCACACCTGCCTTGGAGTTTCAGCTGTCTGCTACTTTTTTATGCTTATGAGCAAAGCTATCTGTTGTTTCTCAGGTTGGTCAGCACAGTCTGTCCTGCTGTGCAGCTATGTGTACACTACCCTAGGGAATCTAGTACGATGTATCGAGGGACTTATGCACATTTATGGCTTTTCTAATACCAGTTCAGAGGTATACCCATTTACAGGATTTACAGTTCATTTCTCTCAACCACAATTCAGTGCTGGAAGTCTTGATTCTGCTTCATCGGATAATAGATTATATACCCAGGACTTATGGGCTCCCCAGTTAAGATCTCATTGATTTGGAGCAGATCAAAAAGGGAGGTTAGGGATCCTCAGTTTGGGAAAGACCACAGGCCGCTGTTCTTATCTTACTTGGAGACAGTTGCTGCATGTTTTGGAAGGAGACTTCGAGATCTTTCTAACTTGTCCCTGTAACTCTTGCTCAGTGTAGCTCAGATCTGCCTCACATTCGCAATACAGCTGGCAGGCCTCCAGCTGCTCCAGCTGCAGTCTCTGATTGGTGGGTGTCACATATTCAGCTTGGCTTTTGCTCATAGATTATTTTGTGAGACAAATGGAAGAGTTTTATGTGTTTGCCTAAATTAGCTATTTCGTATAAGTAGCTTGAGGGATTCTAACTGGATTAGTTTTATCTGTCTCTTGGGGTTCAAATGATTAAGAAGACATTTTAAACTAAACAACAGGACCTCCTTCAAAAAATTCAGTTAGCCTACTTTTTAAATTTGTGAGACATTTCTAATTTCTGTTATTTTCTTCTATTTTAGTTTCATTCCTCCATGTAAGATCCTAAAGGAGAGTATATCTACAACTAAACCAGTAGATGGGATTAAACACGAGTTTTATTTTTGCATTCAGCTTTTCATAGGACATATTTTATGTACTCCTATATTTAAAAAAAAAAGAAAAGAAAGAAAGAAACCAAAATAAATTACTATTTTGCTGAAGGAGACCCAAAGTATGTTAACTTAAGAGATAATAAGATTACCCTGTGGCAGAAGTGATACAGTTGCTAAGTGATACAGAGAAAGCTTAGTTGTTTTAACTGCTTACTTTTGAAATTAAAGATTATTTCTACAAAGTATCAGGCAGACAATAAAAATAGGAAACTAAGTTCTACTCGCTGCTGATACTGTATTTGAGGAACTCAGTAAAGAAACCACCTAAATGGCTGCTCTGTGATTAAAGGGGAAGATTTTATAGATAAGAGAGGGAGAGTAGCCAGACGCATCTGGAGGAGTCTGTCAGGCTTCTCCGGGACAGAGAGAAAAGGTGGGGAGAGAATTAATTGCCAAGAATGTGGGAGCAGGGAAGGCAGCAAAAATGGGTGGAGTTATATAAGGGGTTCTATTGCAGGGGGGAGGTGGGCAGGTTAGCTGTAACAGCCTGGGAACTAGTATGGGGCCCTGATCTGTGGGAGGGAGGGAGGGGAGGCTTGTTGGAGTTAGTAGCGAAGTAGATGGCATTTCTGGTGATTTCCCCGGGGTTGCGGGTGGTGGAGGACAATTCCCTATATGAGTGGATAAGTAATGGCTTTTCCTGGCAAGTAGAAACAAGGTTTCTGAGGAATGTTTGAATGTCCAGCCTGTGCAGACTGAGCCCAGGCTGCCGTCTAGTGGGGTCGGGACCTGACAGTTTTCCATGCTGAATGTTGACTTTGAAGTCAGACTGGCCTACAGAGCAGATTACTGGCCATCCAGTTCTGTATATCATCTCTCAAAATTAATTAATACTTTTCTTGGGGATGCTTGGCAATGTCCCTTCTAAGTAGCTGCATTTATGTCAAAGATGGTGTTTTTTCCTTATTTTGAGGGAGTAGCCAAGAGAATCTCTTCCGGTTTCCTCCTTCCCTTTCTTTCAGCCCTTCTGTTCCAGTGTTTGAAACAATGTTTCTACTATGTAACCCCCACAGCTTGGGATCCTCCTGCCTCAGCTTAGTTCTTCTCTAACCCTTTTCTCTCTTCCTGCTGTTGCTTTTTTCCGTGCCAACTGTTTACTAAAATATAATTTACATATATTAAAAGGCCTGCAAATAAAAAAATGTTTAGTTTAAAGAATTTGTGTGTAAGTGTATGATAGACTATAGACGAGAAGAAACAGAAAGCTAAGTAAAGTTCAGTTTCCTTGTATATAAATGCAGCATCACAGATGGTTCTGCTATAGCTTCCTCTTTCTGTATGTTGGATTGTTACTCTTCACTAAACACTGACCTCATTTCCTTCAGACCATATTTTATACAGTAGTCTACTTATATTTAAACTCTTTCTCTTCTTAAAGTTACAAACTATGTTGCTGTGACCCTTTTATACATAGTTGGTTTGCATTTGTGTGAGTGGACCCCAGGCGTGGGTTGCTGGATTAAGGCCTTGTGGTTGACTTGGTGTGATGCTAATTTGCATCCCACTGACCCTTCCAGAATGTGTCCATTCAATGACCTCTTCATGTTTTTTAACCTGTGCTCCTCTGATAAGTGAAAGTAGAATCCTGGTACCATTTTTTAATGGATATTTCACATATAAAGAAAAGTGGGCATCTTCTATATGTTTTAGAGTAATTCCTATTTCTTTTTCCATACACTGTCTGGCCCACTGTTTGCCCCCTCCCCTGCCTTTTCCCCAGTAACCATTGCTCTTTCTCTCAGTATTCCCTTTGTCTTTCCTGCAAGTTACAAATATTGTTTCACAAACTTTCAAGTGTATTCTGAATTTGTCTGCTGTCTTCTACCCCCTCCCCCAACACACACACGGCCTGGCCCTATTTTATGCTTCTGTAGTGACCTTCCGATTGTAGATCCTGGATAAAGGAAAACTTGAAAGGGACAGGCATCACTGGCCAGCCTAAGCGAGTGTAGTAGTGAGTAAACTAGGAACATCAAGCAGCTGCACACATGGGAGGGAGAATGGATCTATGCTTGGGAAGCAGCCTCACAGTGCAGTTTTGCTAATCAGGTTCACAAGGAGTTTTCAGTGCCACTGCACCAGCTAGTGTCTGAACAACAGAAACTAATGATAAAGCTGCAAAGGAAAGATGCCCAGGAGAATCTAAGAAAATCCTCGCAGTGATGCTCAGAAAAGGTGAAGCAAAGCAAACTGAGCACCTGCCACTGGCATCAGTGCCTTGGAAAATGGGCCCTACCCCCTCTCTCATATAGGGTCTCATGTAGCCCAAACTGGCCTCAATGTATGCAAGGTCAGACTAGCCTTGAACTCACGATCCTCCTGCCAAATGTTGAGGTTACAGATGCTAGATCTTGACAACAGAGTGAGCTATGATTATATCACTTTTTTTTTCCTGATCTTTTTTGTCTTGGTCTCAAAGGTCCACGTAGAAATTTTTCATTAGGCATCTTACAAATAACTACAAATGAAGTTGGTATCTTAATTTAGCCAAAGGCCAGTGAGGAAGTAGCTGGAAGTAGCTCATAGGGAGATCTGGTTAGTTTTTTGTCATAGAAATGTTTGTCTCTGTTAAGGTAACCTGAGAGAAATTTCATGTTTTGTTATTTCCAAAACTGTGAAGCACTTGAAAAATGGATTTGCATCAATCTCTCTTGCTATAAGTGAGTTCAGTTCTAGCACAGGTGAGGCAGTTACCCCTGTCTGTTACTGTAGGTCTGTTGCAGAAGTAATAATGGTACATGAAGCAGTTTATTCAATATCTGTGGTTTCTATGGAAACAAACTTAACATTGACCCATATTCTCTGTGCTTTTTTTTGTCAATGTGCAGTTATTTTCATAATGGAGAAACCTTAGATTACATTAATCCAGTTTTATTCCACAGTGAATCCTGCAAGCTGTGACATGTGACTTCTCATGAGGCAAAGTAGAGACACAGAGTCTAAAGGGAAGGGCCCAGTACACAGTGCTTAAACATTTCAGCAGGAATGTCTTTCCTGATTTAAATATGTAAATGCTTGAAATGACACTAGAATTTGAGGTGAAAGCAGGCTTCAGAAGAACTGCAGCTATTCAGTTCGTAGGAAGGTGTCACAGGGTGATACCAGAAGGATGCTAGCTGTCCCTCAGAGGCTAGCTGTCCCTCAGAGGCTAGCTGTCACTCAGAGACTAGCTGTCACTCAGAGGCTAGCCGTCCCTCAGAGGCTAGCTGACAGTGGGGAAATGTTACAAATCTCTGTGCTGTGGGATTTCCTAGAAGGCTCCGATGTCAGGGGCATGGTATTCATGTTCTCATACTGTTCTCTGAAGTTGTCAGCAGCAGGGATGTGTTTATGAGAGCAGTTCCGCAAGTGTATTTTTTTCCCCAAACTAGAAGTAGGAAGAAATAATTAATGTTTCAGTTTTATCATGGTAAAGAAATAGTTTAAGAATTATTTTCATTTACAATTACTGATATTTTCTATCCATTCTCTACATTCATTGTATAGTCTTACATTGGGAATGATAACTCCATTTGAAGGATTTAGAAAGTTACGTCCCCTTCATCAGAGAATGGAAAGATGCTCCATAGGCCTCTCATTGCTTCACAGAAACCACTGGTAGAAGATAAGATTCACTGTTACATTCAGTGGAATATTCAAATGGAATTAGAAAAATACAATTCTGGTGCATATTATCCTATGCATGATTCTTGAAAACATTGTGTCAGACTTTTACAAAGGACAAATAGTCTGTTCAGTCAGACTAATAGAAAATAGACTAGAGTGGCTGAGATTTGTGAAACATGCATATGTTTGGTGGGTGGAGTTACTCTTCTTGATAAAATCATCCAGAAAAGGACAGTAGTTGAGAACTGTACATCATTGCAACCATTCTCCATGCTGCTGAATTGTACATTTGAAGTGATTAAAATCCTCTTCTTTGGTGTGTATATTATCACAATTTTAAAGATCAGTTTTCTTTCATTCCTAGTGTTTATATCTTCAATACCTATGTACTGACCACACAGAAATATTATGAATATTTGTAGACTTTTATCAAATTGGGATATCTGACTACTTTGTTTTCATGTCTCAAAGTGCAAGTGCTGAATTTAAGCGATTTTTTTCTTGTAATGATACCTTAGAATCACAGTGAATTTTATGGATGAAATTTCACCACTTTGTTTGAGAAAGGTGGAATTATTTTTTCTGAAAGACAAAAAAAAAATTAGTTGCACCTTAATGTATAAACACACACACTAACACACACACACACACACACATGTAAATTAATTACGTTTCAACATTAAGCCATAGTATCCTACAATTTCTTCCCCCATGTTGTGGGATTCCTAAAATGTTTAAGTTTTCAGTTATAATGCTGTGTTCCTGTTGAGTTAGAAAAAAAAAATATGTTCTTAAAATAATTGGTCAAATGATTTTGGTAAATTCACTTTCAGTGAGTTGACTGTTCATCAAAACAATAGAGTAGTGTTGCTGAGATTAGAGATTTTTTTTTTTCCAGGAATTTTTGTACAAAAGGTTAGCTTAGGTTTTTATCATATGATAAAGTCCTTATTCTCACTTACATGTATTTCCCCAAATGTTCTCCAATTGTATTTCAGGTTGCAACAAGGACAATGTCCGAGCAGGCTGCAGAAAATGTGGCTACCGTAAGTGTGCTGAAAAGCAACATTCTATCTACTGTGATTGTTTTCTCTGGCCATTGCTTCCTGGGGGCTGGATGACTCAGCATCCTAACCTCAGCAGCTCTGTGGGTACCCTGGGCCCTTCCCAGGGTTTGTATTGGACTCTGTGGTAACTAGCTAAGATGCTGTGAAATATTAGGGGTCGGCTATAGACTGTTTAGAAAAAATAGAACTAAAATAATTGAAAATACAAAAGTAAAAGACTATGTATAAAGAATAGGTGGTCCTGGAGAGATGGCTAGGCAGTTTAGAGTACTTGTCTTTAAAGGACAGGGGTTCGATTCCCAGCACCCATGTGGTAACTCACAACCATCTGAAACTCTAGTTCAGAGATGGAGCATCCTTTTCTGGCCTCCACAGGCATGCACACAATACACATACATACATGCATACAGGCCAAACACCCATACATTAAAAAATAAAATAAGTAAATTTTAAAAAATGAAAACGTGTATAATGTTTGTATGTGATATATATATGAAAGACTCCTCCAAGGGAGACCCTGGAAGGATGCGAGCCCAAAGACACTCCAGAGACTGTCTTGCTGTAATTACATGAGTCAGGTTCTTTATTATCGAAGCTTCACACAGGAGGTAGAGGAATCGACCTCGAGGCCCAAAAGCTTAGGGTTAATATAGGCAAAGGCCGGGGGGGAGGGAGGGGGTTGTGGCGCAGTCACACACAATTGGTTGTTTCAAATGTCTGCAATGTGTGTAAGCAGATCCTGGGCAGAGGTTTCACAGGAACAGTCTCTGGTCCCTGTGGCCTTGGGACCCAGTGTGAATGTTTATCTGACCCAACAGACCATCAGGCTGAATTTAATTTGCAAGTCCTTGGGACCTCTGGTGGGAGTTTTTCCAGAGGAGGCTAAGTCAGACACCACGGTAACAGATTCCCGGAACACTCAGTTGACCTTTGTTTCTCTAGATCTGCGTCCCCTGCTACGGCCTTGAGTTAGCAAACTAGCTGACCTGCAATTTTAACTACCCGTATCTGAACCAAGGCTCTCTGCTATACCATTGATGCCAACTAACCCAAAATTCTTTTTCAATATACATCTATTATTTCTCTCTTTCTGAATACTGGGTGAAGAGGTAAAGGCATTAAACATTAAAATGTTTAAAAACATTAAAGTGATTTTTTAATGTTTCCTGAATGTATCCCTTTGTATAAGGGTTTGATTGTTCCCATAATTTCTGCTTATAGGCAAAAAACTATTGAGTTCAATGATAAGTCCAGTGTGATTAATCTAATAGAGCTAGAAGGTATGCCCAGGCCTGCGTAATTACATACTGTATCACAAATGTGATTTTATTCTGTAAACAGCATTCCTGGAGGTTAGGTCCAGCAGCTCTACAGGCCTCACCAATAAAATATTTGTCCTGGAAGCACTTCTGTCTCTAAAGTTGATTGCCATCCGTGCCAGCTCCACTGAACTGTTAGGATATTCCAGTTCATTAAAGGATTATTTTCTAACAAATACAAGTGATTTACCAAAGATTCCAAAGAATACCAAGAAATTGATTTATGATCTTTGTTATTAGAAAAATAACTTACTCATAAATGTCACAGACTACAATCAAACTCTACAAAAGTTTTCTTATCTTTATTTTTTTGAATATTCACTCCGGTGGTTCTAGCAACAGATGATTTGGGTACACACCTCAGCCCTTACTAGATGTGCAGTAGTTGGCATATGGCTTACTCATTCTGCACTTTGGTTTTCTTTCTGCAAATTGACTGTTATAGTACTGTCTTGATTAGGATTTTATTGCTATGAAGAGACACATGAGCAAGGCAACTCTTACACATAAAATATTTAATTGGGGCTGGCTTACAGTTTCAGAAGTTCAGTCCATGATCATCATGTCGGGAAACATGGCTGTTATAGGCAGACGTGGTGCTGGAGGAGCCAAGAGTTCTACATCTTGATCCAAAGGCAGCCAGAAGGAAGCTATCATCTTCCAGCAGCCAGGAGGAAGCTGGCTTCTGCACTGGAAGGAGCTTGAGAGACCTCAGATCCTACCCCCATAGTAACACACTTCCTTCAACAAGGCCACACCTCCTAATAGTGTCACTCCCTATGGCCAAACATTCAAACACATGAGTCTATGGGGACCAAGCCGATTCAAGCCACCACAAGTACCTAGCCTCCTAGAGGTTGCTGTGAATACTAAGTATTCTTGTGTTAAGTAATGACTTCAGGTCATTGGCCACCATAGTAGGTCCTCTGTGTTTGTGGGCTGTTATTGTTGCATATTAGAAAACCAAGACATGGGTCTTCCACTACAGGATAGGAAAGTGGAACTCGAACTCTGGCTACCAGATTTCATGCTGTGTGGTGCTCTCTGTTTTCTTACTCTCCATACTGGTAAAATATATTGCCTTAGTGAGGGTTTTTGTTGCTGTGAAGAGACACTATGACCACCACTTACTTAGCAATCTAATATCAGCCCTTCCTCTCCTCTCAGTACCCCCTCATGCAAGTCCTCCCCCCATTCCACCTTCTAGTGGTGGAGGATCCACAGGCAACAGGCTCAGGGACAGCCCCTGCTCCAGTTGTTGGGAGACCCCCATGAAGACCAATGCTCATTTGCTACATAGACCATAGTAACTCTTAGAAAGGAAAGCATTTAAATGGGACACCATGACCAAGGCAACTCTCATACATACAATATTTCACTGGGGCTGCCTTACAGTTTCAGAGGTTTAGTCCGTTATCCTCACCATGAAAAGCACGCCAGTGTGCGTGCTGACCTGGTGCTGGAGAAGGAACTGAGAGTTCCACAGCTTGATCTGAAGGCAGCAGAAGGAGAGAACTGACTTGAGATTCTAAGACCTCTAACCCCTTCCGACAGTGACAACTTTCCTACCACACCTACTCCAACAAGGCCACACCTCCTAGTGGTGACACTCACTATGGGCCAAGCATTCAAACAACTGAGTCTACAGGGACCGTTCCTATTCAAACCACCACATTTATCAAATGTAAAATCTTAACCTATCTCAGCATATATGCATATATGTGTGTGTGAGATATCTATATCTATATATCTCACACCTGTAGAAGTAGAATTATTGAATTGTCTTGTGGACTTTTTGAGAAGCCACCTAACTTTTCCACACTGGCTATACTTTATGTTTCTTACTAGTAATAAATAAGGCTTCCCATTTTCCCACATCCTCATTAGCATTTGTTGCTCTTCCAATTTGATGAAACTTATAGACAGGTGTTGATAAGACTGTTTGACCATTGTCCCTAGTGTAAACTCTCTGATTTCCTAAGTTAAAAGCTAATAGTGGCATCTTTTGTTACCTATAGCAAATGTTTTCCAGCCAAACCTGTATTTCTTCTTATGACTCCTAGTGAACTCAGTATGGACACTGATTGCCAGAAGACCACATGGATATTTAGAAGGTTGAAACCAGCCCTCCAGGGAAGGGAGAGAGAGTTAATTCATACAGGTGACATCAATCACCTATGGTCAGCAATTTAATTAGCCATACCTGTACGATGGAAATTCATAGACAACCACGAAGTACAGGATTCTAAAAGCTTTTGGACTGATAAATATACAGAGGTTCTGGGGAGATGGCACACTCAGATAATTCCCGGTGCATCTCTTCTGTTTAGCTGCTTGTAAGCTGAGTGCTTCATAATAAAGTACAAATGGTAAGTTATCCACTTCCTTTCACTCAGTGAACCATTCGAGCGAATTATCAGATTTGAGGAACTTTTGGAAACCCTGTGACTTTATAGTTGGCCAGTCTGTGAGAGTAGGCTAAGTTTGTGATTGACATCTTAAGTTGGGGAACCTTGTGAAACTGAACCCAGGCTGTCGTAAGCCTGGAAGGTGTCCAAACTGGGCCAGCAAGATGTCTTGGTGGACAACATGCTCCCCCACAAGTTTAACAATCTGACCGTCCCCACAATGCATATAAAGCAGAAGGAAAGCCCTGACTCTGCACAGTTGCCCTCTGAACTCTGTATACATACCTTGGTGCACATGCATGCCCCCTATACACAGACACACATGCACGTAACAAGAATAACTAAAATTCAGGAATGAATTTAATTTTATGATACTCAGTATCCAGAGAGTTAAGAATTAGTTGTCGGTGTGGAACGAAAGTTACACACACAATTGCTGTATAAAGTGTTGTAGGTAGAATATAAGCCATACTGATAGATGTGAAGTTGTATTTCATTGTTACTTTGGTTTGCTTCTCTGTAATAATTTGGAACAACTGTTCATATACTTTTTGGCCATTTGTATTTATTTTCTAAAGATCCTTGTTTGTCTTGCCATTTTTTAAAAAAGACTATGTCATGTTTTCATCAAGTTTTAGTTGTTCCTTACATTCAGTTAGCAGACATAACACTATCAGATATATGACTTAAAAGTATTTTTCTCATTCTCTTAAGTTATTTTTCCCTTTCCTGGTAATGTTCTTTTATTAAAAAAAAAATAAGTTTGATAAAATTAAGTTTTATCGTTTTTTATCGTTTTTTCTTTTGGTGCTTTACACTTTTGACATCACATTTAAGAGTCCATTGGCAAATCTAAAACAGCAATGATTTACCTTTATGCTTTATTCTGAAAGCTTGTCTGTTGTCCTCTTTGAGTGTGGTTTTGCATATGATGCATGGTGAGGGCCTGTGCTATTACTTCCTGTGTAGGAGGCCACTTGCTTTCAGCTAACTGCTGTCCTCCCATTGAGACTGGGCACTCAGAATTCAGTTAGCCATTGTATCTTTCTTTTTCTGGTCACTGTAACAGAATGCCTGAGGTGACAACAGAATGAGAACTTAACAGAATTGTTTCTCTTTAGCTTGAGGCCTCCTGGGCTCCTAACTGTTGTGATCTGCTCTCTTGTCTCTGGGCCCATCTTAAGGCAGAGTAAGATGGAGGGTGTGTGTGTTCCCCTCACCACAGACAGGAGGTGGAGAGAGACAGTCCATACAGCTGCCATCCTTTTTCCCCTGTATCACATCCCGACAACTTACAGGAAGGTACAGCCCACATTTGGAGTGTGTCATACTGAACTCAGCCTCTCACTAACCCAGAATTTGATGATTTGGCTACTCTACTTTACCAGCTTGCCACAAGGATCCCCTGTCTCTGCATGCCAGGTACTGGGACTACAGGTGGCCACCATGCCCACCTGACCTTTTTTTTTTTTTAAACAGGAGCTATAGTGTTCTAGGGATCCAAAGTCTGATCCTCACACTTGCATGGCAAGTGCTTTGTCACTGAGCTAACTCTCCAGCCCTTTACATTCTAATAACTCTTTACGATTCATTGTCTGAGAGTCTATTTAGAAAAGAAGCCGCAAGGAGACAAATGGTTGGAGATGCAATGATATCCCAAGCATCTTTCACTTAAACCCAATAAGAAAAACAACAACAACGGGCAAAAAGCCAAACTCCATTGCAATTTCACAAGTAATTTACCATGACACTGTCATTAACGTGAAGCCGGACCAGTTGTAGGGACTCCTAAAGCATTTGTCTTACATGATTTCAGTGCCAGGCATTTGGGTATAAAGCTATTTTGACTAAAATAAGATTGCATCAGGAATTCTGGGATGCAAAGGGTCTTAAAGGGAAAGCAGAGGGTACATGTGGAACGCCCAATGAGTCACACACTGACTGAATGCCATCAGGGCTTTGTGCAGTTAAGCTCTAGAGCCCTGACTGTGGCGGGATGCCTAGAACAGAGCCTCTTACATAAAGCCAGGATCCCTGCCCTACCAGTGAGACAAAAATTAGGAAAGCTTCCCTTAACCATTAAGAGAAATTCGCAAGACCACTCATGTTTGAGAACCTACAAAGTAGTAATTACAAGGAAAAGAACAATAAGCACTTGGCATCCAAATCTTTACCTTATAAGTGTAAGGAATGAACTGTACAGTTCACATTGAGACAGGAACTATTTTTCCAGTACTAAGAAATTGTTATTAATAAGCAGTCTTATAGAGATCAATGCTATAGCTCAGTTAGCAGTAGATCATTTGCCCGGCATGCACCAAGTTGTGAGTTCATCCCATAGCACCACATAAACCACGGGCATAGTGAACCACACCTGTAATCCCAGCTCTGTAATTACTTTACAGATGGGATGGGATGAGACTGACACAGAACTTCCAAAAGGAACAGAAAAGAAACAGAACCACTAAAACACACACATGCTCTCTCACGCACTCTCTCTTTCTCTCTCTCTCTCTCTCTCTCTCTCTCTCTCTCTCTCTCTCTCTCTCTCTCTCTCTCTCCTTCCTTCCCTCCCTCCCTCCCTCCCTCCTTCCCTCCCTCCTTTCTCGATCTCTTTCTCCTCTTTCTCATTTTTCCTTCCTCTCTCTCTTTTTGGCTGTGTGTATGTGTGTGTGTGTGTGTGTGTGTGTGTGTGTGCACTCAAGTACCTGCAAGCATTTGCCTTAAAATATTCCAAGTGAGTGTGAAAAAATGTTAGCATATGGATGGCATGATACAGACAATAGTTCTGTTAGTTCTTGTAATGGCATTTGTAATCGTGAATTCTAAAATATACAGTAAATGCTTTCCCTACTAGTTGCTGTGACGGAGTCCCAGACAGGAAGCGTACTTACAGGAAGAAAAGTTTCTTTAGGCTCACAGTTTCAAGGTATAGTTCATTGGCAGAGAAGTCATGACAGCAGATGCTTGAGGCAGCTGGTCATATTGTACCCACAGTCAAGAATGTTGTTGCTAAGCTAACTTTCTGCTTTAAGTGTGTGTGTGTGTGTGTGTGTGTGTGTGTGTGTGTGTGTGTGTGTGTGTGTTGCCATGGCAACATGTGACTATCAGGGGAAAAGTTGAGATTGTTCTCTTCTTCCACTTTGTGGGTCCCAGGGATGAACTTATATCCTCAGGCTCAGTAGTAGCAAATGGCTTTTCCCACTGAAGCATCCTGTCTGCCCCACTGTGTCTGTGTCGTCTTTGTTCAGTCCAGGACCCGGCCCAAGGATTGCCACTGCCCACTTCCACTAACCTAATCTAAACCCTCAGGGCGTGCAAGAAGCTTGTCTTCCAGTGAGCCTCCATCCTCTCAAGATCAAATCAGAGATAACCATCACAGTGAACAATTATTCAGAGTTTCTTACTGGAAGAATTTTAGGCAAACTGTTATCAGAATTTAAATATTAATTTTTGAATCCTTTTAAGAAGTATTTTTAGTTTTGTTGATGCTTACACGTTATGGCAACTTTTACTTAGATGAAAGATGTAACCACATGAGTTAGTAGTCAAGCCGAGGAGGAAAAGCTGTAAGGAGGGAATAAAATACAAAGTTTCCTGTATGAGTTTGTTCTTAGTTACCCTAATCTAAATAATGTAAAATAATCCATGCTTATCGAAAGAGGAAACGGTGATTCAGTACTCTGAAATGCATGACAAGTACCCCACAGTGTTTCTTGAGTTAGAAGTTCCAATGACGAAGGGGAAAGTTCTTTTAGAAGCCTGTATTCACACAAAAAACATAGGGAATAGTAGCAAACCGCCCATAACAGAATACAAGTTAGGCTTTGGTGGTGTTACTGAACTCGTACCCAGTTGTCTGCTGTGGAGTTCCAAAGCAAAGAGCACAGATATGGATGTAGTTTTTTTTCCTTCTTGTCTCTTGTTTTCTTTATTTAGCTGGTCATCTGACTTTCGAGTGCCGCAATTTTCTCCGGGTAGACCCCAAAAGGGACATTGTGTTGGACGTCAGCAGCACAAGTAGCGAGGACAGTGACGAAGAAAACGAGGAGCTGAACAAGCTGCAGGCTCTGCAGGAGAAAAGTAAGCCGTGGCTTCTCTCCATTGTCCTCTTCTGAGTCACAGCACACTTACGTAACTGTGCTCGTCACAGAGGTGTTTTTCCTATTGCATGCAAAGGCTACAGCATAGGTGAGCACATCCGCTTTGATGGAAGTCATTGACGTAAGAGTAGTAATCAGTCATGAGACCAGGAAGCAAGTCAGTCTCTGAGTCTCTGAGCTGGCATTTTGCTTTTTCCTCATTTGTTGCTGTTAGACTGGCAAACATTGAATTGTCAGGTGCCACTAACAAATACCAGAGATTGTAGACAATCAGAAATTTACTAGCAATATTAAGTACACAAAGAATCCTAGACAAGCAAGAATTCTAAGACTGCCGATATATAAGCCCCAGGAATTTCTTTTCTGCTTTTGGACATACTCTAACCAAGATTTATCTAAGTGTGGTTGGAGAGATGGCTCAGCAGTTAAGAGAGCTTGCTGTGGTTCTGGGGGAACTGAGTTCAGCTACCACCTCAGGAAGCTCACAACTGCTTGTAAGTCCAGCTCCAGGGGATTGTCCACCCTCCTCTGGCTTCCACAGCGCTTACACACATGAAGTGGACAGGTACACAGTCACATAAGTAAAAATAGCATTTAAAATCATTTAAAAAATGAATATAAGAAGCTTTTATTCTCCTTCAAAACAATATCCAGCTACAGTTGACTGTAAAAGAAGCATCTCTCCTTTTGTACAGTCTTGTACACAAAAGCCTCGTTATTGTAATGGGAAGTTGTATGCTTGTAGACGTCATGTTCTCTAAGTAACTATATATAGAACTAAAATGTAACTTACTTAAAATGAGAGTATTATAAATATTAAACTCACTATGTTTTAGATTTTCAGGGAGATTTTTTTTAAAGATTTATTTACTTTTATGTATATGAGTATATCTATCTGCATGTACACCTGTATGTCAGAAGAAGGCATACATTATAAATGTACGAAAATCACATTATAGATGGTAGGGAGCCTCCATGTGGTTGCTGGGAATTGAACTCAGGACCCAGTGACTTTAACCACTAAGCCATCTCTCCAGCCCTGGTTTTTAGAGAGCTTTAAACAGTAAGTCTGTATTATTCCCACTTGAAGTAAGAGAAACAGCTCAGTGTGAGGAGGCCAGCTGGGCTATCTCAGATTCTTACTTTTTGGGCTATCTCAGATACTTAATACCATGGACTTCCCTCCTTAGCTGATGTTGCTGAAACCCATTTAATGCTGTGCTTTTCATGTTCATGTTTCTTTGGTTCCTCCTCTTCTGTGACACAGAAGTTGGGTCATGGGTGTGTTGTTTGATTTTCGTTAAGTGTTCCAGCTTTCCTCTTAGTACTAATTTCTAGTTTCATGTCATTGCAATCAGCAAGGTGCTCAGTAGGATCTCATCCATAAGTTTGTTAAGACATAGTTTATGCACTAACGGGATCTTCTGGGGTTTCCTAGTTGAAGATATCACCATTATGTCATCTTTACCATCCATGAAAGAAGTCATCTTGGAGGCCTTTGGTTGCTATTACTTCTTATTCCTGTTTTTGTTGTCTTTGTTCTTCTAACTATAAACTGAAATCCATGTGCGCACATACACAGCATTCTAGAACATAGACTTGTAGTGACCTGGTTTGTTTTCCCCCCATCTTCTTCTTTATAGGAATAAATGAAGAAGAGGAGAAGAAAAAGGAAAAAAGCAGGGAGAAAATTAAATTGAAAAAAAAAAGGAAAAGGTACATTTTAATGGATTATTTACATGTTGGGGAAAAAAATCAGAAGCTGTTAATCCAGGAAGGATTAAAGATTTTATTTTTCATAGAGTCCAGTCAATTTACTATTAGTGTTTTCTTTATGAGAATGAGGTGTTTAGTTTAGTAAAATAGCAAAGCCCTCTACTTTAGAAAATAGGAATCAGAAATGAAGTCATTTCTCAGTCACATGTTCTCGGGAGCCAATCAAGGCGAGCAGTGGCCACATCCCTTCCCTCTTATACATCTGTATTCTGGATGTAACCTTTATAACAGGAGCTGATCTTAATTGGGTACACATCTAAATTCTTCAAATATAGTTTGTGCTCACTTTGAAATTGGATTCTACATATCTATATTCTGCTATCATTACCATGACTTAATTAATTAATAAATTAATTTACTAGTGGGATTTAATAGAAGTTCATAAGCCCAGACTTTCTTCAGATCTTTCACAGCCCTCACTAGTCATTCTTGAATATTTTACTGGTAAGACTTTTAATGACAGATTAAAGAAATTGGTCAAATTCAGTAAGAGACAGATCCTCCCCTGGTTTTTAAGTCTTATTAATACTAAAATAAGTAGACATGTTTTTGAGCATTTGATCATGGTAAGCGCTGGTCTGGACTTTATTCTCCTAGAATTTTTTTTTTAAAATCAAGTGTTGCACTTTATAATTTTATAACAAACTCAATTATGTATATTTTAATACATCAGAAAACTTGTGAATTGTAAAAGTTAGCTCACTTTCAAGTGTTGGGAATTAAATAATCTACCCTGGGAGCATAGCACTCAGATTTCTGACTAGTGTATTGTTATTTGTGCTATTACAGCAGGCTGAATTGCTTACAGGAAACATGAGGCTATATTGTGTTCCAGGTTCTGATATATATGTGTGTGCATATCACACACATACAGACACACACACCGCACATATATGTCATATGTGTGTGAGTATGTGTGTGTGTGTGTGTGTTTTCAGACCTGTCTGTGCCAAGCCTCAAAGACCTTAGGCCCTAAAACCCAAACTTCCTCGTGCATGTAAAGATAGCCACCTAATAGTGCTATGTTCAAATCTAGTTTTACCTTATACCTGAGAATCAAAAAGCTAAGGAAAAAATGCATAGACATAGAAGAAGCTGTGTATGTGCAAATAAGTAGACCAGCAAGATAAAAAGAAGGAAGTAAAGGGAAGCTTGGGGTTAGGGGCTCACCCAAGCCACTCCTAGGGACAAGGATACCTGAACCCTGCAGGCTTATGAATTCACTTTTGCCCCTATATCTGTTCTGAAGTTTATTAGTTTGGGTTATAGTCCTAATATTTAGATTGCTGAGCTAACTTTTAAAAAGTTTTAAAATTAAGACATATGTCTTAGTTAGAGTTTCATCGCTGTGACCAAAGCAACTCTTATAAAGGGCAACATTTAATTGGCACTGACTTACAGGTTCAGAGATTCAGTCTATTATCATCAAGGCAGGAGCATGGCAGCATCCAGACAGGCATGGTGTAGGAAGAGCTGAAAGTTCCACCTCTTGTTCCAAAGGCAGCTAGAAGACTGACTTCCAGGCAACTAGGACAAGAGTCTTAAAGCCCATGTCCACTGTGACACACTTCTTCCAACAAGGTCACACCTATTCCAACAAGGCCACACCTCCAAATAGTGCCACTCCCTCAGCCAAGCATATTCAAACCACATGACATAATTGCATAGTTTCCCTTTCTCTTTTTCCCTCCAACCCTTCTATATACTCCTCCACTCGCTCTCACATTTCTGACTTCTTTTTTTAAAACTTCGAAATATTTATATTTTTATGTAGATGGACAGATAGATAGATAGATAGATAGATAGATAGATAGATGATAAACTCCTAAATATATAAATACAACCTACTCAGTCCACATAATATTACTCATATGAACTAACTTTTAAGATGCCCACTGCATTTTAAATTAACTCAGCTTCTGTGTTGTCACATATATTTTCTGGGTTTAGAATTAAAATGTTGTACTTTACATGAGATCTGAAGCCAGGCAGTGGTGGTGCACGCCTTTAATACCAGCACTTGGGAGGCAGAGGCAGGTGGATTTCTGAGTTCGAGGCCAGCCTGGTCTACAGAGTGAGTTCCAGGACAGCCAGGGCTATACAGAGAAACCCTGTCTCGAAAAACCTAAAAAATAAAAACTAAAAAAAAAAAAAAAAACATGAGATCTGAAAAGATGACTTTTTTGATTTTTTTTTTTTTAATCTCCACCCTAACTCCAAATGCCCATATCAGGGAAGGAAATTCTATGAGTGTTCCCTCTCGATTTCATGTTAAAATATTAGAAAAATATAATGATAAATCATCCTCATTCACCTACATGCAAGTGTTCATTTTAAAAGCTCCCTTTCTGTAACTAATAAAAATCACTTGGAAATACAAGTGCTCATTTCTATCACTCTGCAAGCAGGAGGATCAAGTTCATTATCATGAAAAATCACAGGAATTACAGAAGGGCTTTTATTTTGTTAATTTTTAGCTCTTACCCATTCATACTGAGGAACAATTAGGATCCTTTTTATACTAAGCCGTAATTGCATCCTTTTGTGACTTAAGAGAACATGCTAGCAAGTTATTACATACACGAGTGGGTTGTGTGCGTGAGGTCAGTGAGCTCTGCTTCAGTTTCCCCTGGAAGATTCAGAAGGGCAGGCAGCTCAGTATGTAAGCCTGTGGCAGCCCCAGGAAAATACCTTAATTCTCTAGTGTTGAGCAGAATGGAAATTGTAGCTTTATCAGCTTCTGTGACCAAGCAGTGAAAATTGAATTCTGCATTTAAAGAGAATAGAAAGCGACTTTTTAGTATCTGTGTTTACTCTTCCTCTCCCACGACTTGAGGCAGCTCAGATCCTACTCAGTTGATGTCTTCAGTCCTAACTGCAGTGCCAGTCACAGTGCGTTCTTACCCATAGGTCTTACTCCAGCACCACTGAAGAAGACTCCACAAAACAAAAGAAACAGAAGTATCAGAAAAAAGAAAAGAAAAAAGAAAAAAAGAACAAATCAAAAAAAGGAAAACATCACAAAAAGGAAAAAAAGAAGAGAAAAAAGGAAAAGCGTTCATCCCCTAACCGTTCTGAATTCACCAAAAAGTAACAGAGTCTTGGGCCTAACTCAGGAAATTGAAGAATTCAGTCGTTTTAACTATTGAACCTTCCTTAGAATTGCTATGTAATTACGCTTCACAGAAAACCCCAGCCTCTTCTATAAGGACATTTTTCACCTATTGGGGCCCTTATCTCTCTGCCCGTCTGTATTAAACCCATCTCCTTACTTGACAGCTGTGCCTCAAGTATAGATTGTGTACATACAAAGCACATCATTTTGGCTATTTGTGTTTTGGTGTCTTAGGCCGGGTACTGTCTCTTGGTAAGTTAATTAGCACGTGGTTTTCCTGCAATCAAAGGAATAATCTACATAGCAGCTCCTGAGTCATGTCCGCCTTCCAGTGGCAAAGCTGCTTAGGCGGTAGTGATTTGCTCTTGATACTGAATAGCTTTATGTACTCTGTAATGTATAAAGATAGCGAAGGTCTTCACCGTTGTTTTTAAATCTCTAGACTTTTTAAATAACATCATTGAGGATAAAACCACTTTACTGATCTTAAGTAGTAAGTTTTTAAATGAATGGGATCTACAGGAAGATAATAATGAAAGTATTTATAACAGTGTCATTGTTTTATGAAATGCATGTTTCTGGCACTTGCCTTCCATGTTTTTATAACAATTAAAACATCCCTTTTAAAAAACAATCATTTAGCTTACTAGAAAATCTGGCAGGGAGATTCTGTGCTGGTCAAGATTATTAGGGTAGATCCTAGGTTGATTTACAAATGTGCCATATTGGCATGTTTTAGGTGATACCTCAGACACAGAGATTTTTGTGTGATAACAGCAAAATCCTCATTAAAACTGACTTTTATTATATCTAGTGTATATGATGCTTGCATATATATGAGTATTATGGCAGTTTTTATGAATGTTTGCATATATATTTATTTCTTCTGAAATGGTTTTAGAGTGGGTTTCACACTGAACTTCTGGCATCATGAATAATCAATGTTGATATTTCCTCTTTCACTTCACTCACAGATCTTCGTAGCACTGTGAAAATTTTTAAATGAAGATTTTCATTCTGTACTTTTTAAAATTGAAGACTTGGATGTAGCATCATGAAAGCCTTTGTATAATAATGAAATTTGTATATAAATAAGCCTTTTCAATGATATGTTAGTAGATGTAAGTGTTTCTTACGTTTTTAACTTCATGGTTATCAGTGTAGAGTAGTTTAACATCTAGTATTCCCTAATACCAACAAGTTAACTTACTATGCCATAAAAGCGTTGGACACCGACTGTTATCATAGAACAGCCCCAGAGTTTCTGAGCACCTTGCTGTGGCGCACTTAACACTTATCTTCAGATCGGTAAGGACACATGTGGCTGCGGGCAAATTTATGGCCATAAAATCAGATACGTACACTCGGCCTTGCAGGGCTTTACCAGTTTTTCCCTTACCCAGCACCCAAACTGACATTCCCTGATTGACTCAGGGATAGTCCTAGGAAGTCCCTTAATGTAACCTCATCTCTGCTCAGGTTGCACCCAAGCTACCCCCCAACACCCTTCCCTACACTGCTCCCATGAAATATCTTCAGCTCTTCCACTAACTGGCTACTCTCCTGGCCCATGAAAAAATAATTTTAGTTACAGTTTTGTCAGTTGTTTGAACTAAAGCACAGAACTTTGAGATTTTTAAGGATTTGTTTTGTCTATTGCTAAGTTTGTGAAAGTTCAGTTATCTGAATTAATAAAAGGTTATCTGGATTAATAAAAATAAATGTCATTTTAAAAATACGTTTTTAAAAATAGCGGGGAGCCGGAAAGTTACTCCACAGTTAAATGTTCCTGCTGCTCTTAGGAGGACCTTAGTTCAGTTCCCAGCATCCTCACTGGGAGGTTCATAAGCACCTACGACTCTGTTACTCCAGCTCCGAGGGACCCGATGCCTTCATCTGACCTATGTTGATACCCATGGAGATGCTCTCAAAGATACACACATGCGTGTAAAGACATAGCAAATGCTACATAAATGGCCTCATCCCGTTGCATGTGTAACATTATTAGCAATGACAGATGTAAACAAATAGTTTATCATATTTATAAATTTTACTTCTATTAATTGTAAGAAGATATAAATTGACATATAAGGGTCACTTTTCCCTCCAGCCATGACAGAGCCAGTGATCCAGAAGTGTCATACAGTCAGCTTCTCACTCGGCAATCTGCTACCGACAATAAAAGATGCTAATGGACTAGTCATTTCCCCCAGAAATAATCTTAACATTATTAATAAATTTCCCTATACCTTATGAAATATCTGAGTAGAGTCGTTTCACTGAAGCAAGGAGTTGTTCTTGTTGTTGGAGTGAGATGGAAATAGAGAAATTCATGAAATTTCTTTGTAGACAATATGAAAGAAACAGAAAGAAAGCTTCGTTTAGTAGTAACTGTCTTGAAGTGCTGGCATTGTAACTGCAGCGTGAGCCTGAACCAGCCAGCCTGTACTCCATCTCCTCTCGCCTCCGTGCAGCCTTTGGCAACACCACCCTGAGCACAGTCTATCTCTCCCTCCCCTGTGGAGCCCCCCAGCAAAGTCATTAGCTTCTCGGGCCTCGGTGTCTCTTGCCTATCAAATATTATACTGTGTTTTCTCAGGTCACCTGTAGCCCTTAATGTATCTAATTAGCAGTAATTTTTCAGTGAAATTCAAACAATATCTTTTTTTTAGCAGGTACTACAGATACAGCCAGCATTCTATAAAGGTTGCCTTTATTATTATAGCTGGTAAACATATCAGCTTAAATAGATAAATGGTATTCGATTCATTCTGTTACAGCCCAATTGTATGCCTTTTTCACCAAATGCAGACAGAATTTACATGTCTAAATTTACAAGATTTCTGTCTGCAGCTAAATTATCTGAGCACTTTGGAGCTGCTGTTTTTAAGCTGACAGGCCTGCTCCTCAGGTTCCCCCCTTTTGTTTTTCTCATTGTCTGTTGTCTACAAGCTCTCAGATTTGTTTCTCTTAGTTCCTTGTATTAAGTACATCTCCTCTTACCCATTTAGTTCTTGGAGGCCAAGGCTCTGATAAATGACGGCTCGGGCAACTGTGTGTTTGTATTTACAACTCTGTCTAAAGTTATAAGATTCTAGGACTTCTTACTAGTGGCTGTAGACTGCCTGTCTGCTTCCCTACAGAGCTTGCGTTCAGGCTGGTGGGAGGGCCACCGGAACCCCACCCATGCAGACCCGGATGGGTCATGTAAAGAAACTACAGATGCTACTGAGCGAACATAACACCTGAATTGTGCGTTCTTCGCGTTGATGAGGAGTCTGGGCATTTCTTGACTTGAGTGAGTGCTGGCAAGAAAGAAGGCAGTGAGCTGGAAATAAGAAGGAGTGGAAGCTTGGTGTGGCTAGTAAGTCTGTGTAATTCAGAGCGTAAAAACTGAGGAGACACCGTTTCAGGTTCCTGCAACGAAGGGAAGGAGGCCTTAGGCGCCATGAGGCGCCATATTTGCAACCTTACATTTAACTCTAAGCCATGAGACTTACAGAGTTTTAAGGAAGGAAATGCTGTTTACTCGCCTTTGGTCTCATCTGTTTTGTAATCCTGTTCTACAATTTTTAAAAGGTGAAAATGCTGTCGTTAATAGTCTACATAGGCTGGGCGGTGGTGGTGCACGCCTTTAATCCCAGCACTTGGGAGGCAGAGGCAGGCGGATTTCTGAGTTCGAGGCCAGCCTGGTCTACAGAGTGAGTTCCAGGACAGCCAGGGCTACACAGAGAAACTCTGTCTCGAAAAAACAAAACAAACAAACAAACAAAAAAATGGGCTGGTGAGATGGCTCAGTAGTTAAGAGAACTGACCACTCTTCTGGAGGTCATGAGTTCAAATCCCAGCAACCACATGGTGGCTCACAACCACCCTCAATGAGATCTGATGCCCTCATATGGGTGTCTGAAGACAGTGACAGGGTACTTACATATAATAAATAAATAAATATCTTTTTTAAAAAAATAGTCTACATAGAAGATAGTTTGAGCATTTTATGCTCTGTTAATAAATTACACAATAGCTTATATTTCCTAGAACCCAAAATAAAAATGTCTTACTGTACCATCAGATCTCAGAATTTATACCCATGTACATTTTTTTCAAAATGGGACTTGCTTCATCTTATTCTGAACAGGCTTAAAACTCTCCCTGTGTTAGCATTGGTGAAACCCAAGTATATTTTTTAGTATCTAGACTGTGCTTTAATGAAATAAAGCTTCTTGCTTTTAATATTCTGATCGATTTTTGAAGCACTGCCGTTTCAGAGTTACAGAGAGACACGTCCCTTGGGTAGCCTAGAAGTGTGCTACCTCTGCAGGTCAGGTTTCAAAGATCCCAGCTGGTCACCGTCCTGGGTTTCAAACTTTTAAGACAGTTGTGCCTGAAGAACAGAGGTGACAGTGACTCCAGTTGCTAAGGCCAGGGTCTTTTGACCTTGCTCATGCCTCTCCCTTCAATTCAGACTCTGAAAGTACCCAGCACAGCAGAGGTCCAGGGTCCATCTCCTTAGACACTGTTTATGGTGTATAGACAGCCATGTGCGACTCCATTTGGCCTTTCCCACAGGTAGGGAGAATGTAGGCTCCAGTCTGCTTCTTCCTATCCTTTATGGCACCTCCCTTCTCTTTTAGCAAGGAAAGTAAAGCTGTACCCATGCCTCCACTGAATATTCTCCACCCAGATGCCCACCCGAGATGATCTAGTAATATTCTGACTACTGTGTGTCAAGGCAGTGCATTTTCTGGCTGTCCAGGAACTAGAGTTCTCTCTGTAGACCAGGCTGGTTCAGAGATCTGCTTGCTTTTGCCTCTCAAGTGCTGGGATTAAAGGCATGAGCCACCATGCCCAGCCTGAGTCATTTCAAAGAAGCCCCAGATGGTGAGTTCTCCATGGTTTTGAGGCCAGCCTGGTCTATATAGTGAGTTATAGGGCAGCCAGGACTACACACAGAGAAAACTCTGTTTCAAAAAGTCAATAATAAACAAACTACTTGAAAAGATCAAAAGTCTCCATGAAAGCTCCGAGCATACACAAAATAAATGAAATGTCTTTGCTTTTCTGATCTCAAAAAAGGTCATTTTTATAACTAAAAATGTCATAACTTTTAAACTTCATGTATATTCTAGCATTTTAATATTTAAGCCTTGGCAAAACTGTTCTACTTGAATGGGAAGTATAACTCAAGTAGCAGGTATTACGGTAACGACCTGGGACTCAGGTCAGTATAGCTAAATGTAGCCATTTAAATAAAATTCAGGAAGCAAACATCACTTTTGTTACATCAGCCATGTTTCAGGTGCCCAGTAGCCGCTTAGCATTGGTAGCAATGGCTCCATACTGCAGGTAAGAGAACATTTCCATCACCTCAAGTCACCACAATGCTAGTCTATGAAAAACCCATAATTATGAAAGACACGATGAAAAGTTTCTTCCCCTGAGCTTTGCATGTGCAAGAATAATGAAGCATTTCTTCTTGACATCAGACCGAAGAAGCCATGTTCAGCACATTTTGAAAGACAGGTACATCCTCCAGCTATGGAAACCTTACCTTACCCAAAGCAGATGTATGTAGTAAGCAGGCTTTAAGTTGTTGCCTTTTTCTATTTTGAATTGTTATTAAATTTTGTTTTTAAAACTATGTCTATACTCTTAATAGATATATTTATGAAAAAAATCCTTTGAAATAGAAGCTGCAGAAATGATTTTTCTTTTAATATGTTCTCAACCTTCCTAATGCTACAAACTTTGAACACAGTTCCTCATGTTGTGGTGACCCCCAACCATAAGTTTATTTTCGTTGTTACTTCATAACTGTCATTTTGCTGCTGTTATGAATTGTGATGTAAACATCTGTGTTTCCTGATGGATGGCCTTAGGCGAACCCTGTGGAAAGGTCACTTGTCCTGCAAAGGGGTCACAACACACAGGTTGAGAATCACTGTGCTCGATGGTGACATTAGGTGGAACTACACTGAGTATGATATCTAAGTGACTCATTTAAAATATGTTGCTCAATGTATAAGCTGAGCCACAAGAAGGCTTATTTGCCTTCTTGCTTTTAATATTTTGTGTCAATTGATGAAGCAGGATGATCAAGGCTATGTAGATAGACTTTGTATTTAAAAAAAATTAAAAAAAACATTTAAAAAACAAATCAAATCCACAAATAAAATACATTCTTTATTATTTATTTATCTATTTATGTATGTATTTCTTTATCTGAGTACACTGTGGCTAGCTTCAGACACACCAGAAGAGGACATCGGATCACATTAGAGATGGTTGTGATCCACCATGTGGTTGCTGGGAATTGAACTCAGGACCTCTGGAAGAGCAATCAGTGCTCTTAACCACTGAGCCATCTCTCCAGCCTGCATTCTTTATTTTTATTTATTTATTTATTTATTTATTTATTTAGCATTCTTTATTCTTTTTTTTTTTTTGCCTTCTTTATTCTTAATGCTTCGTCTCTCAGGTGAGCTTTCAAACCAGGGATTTTCGCTAACAGGCAATATTGATTTGTGTCATATCCGTTGTTTTTTCCTGAGTCATGTCGTCAGCTTCATAGAAGGTCTCATTTGTTGAATTTGATGCTGCGTTTGAAATGAGGCCTTTGGCTTTTCTATTTACGTTGCCTGGAAGTACACAAGACCAAATGAAATAATTAGTCAAACTAATGACGTAAAATTTGTCTTTTCAACATGTGTGCTTGAATTGTTATAATAGTGTGGAAAATAGGAAGTCCTGGAACTATTATACAGATGAGAGAGAAGCAAGTTCATGCCTTCTGAAAGTGAAGGGAGATATTCCATCACAGGGATTCAAATTCAATTGCCATATTCTTTCTCCATGCCTCTGTCCCAGCACACAGTTCACAAGGAGGTAACAATTTCAGGGTCACTCAAAGCATGACTCCCTAACCGACAAATAAATAGTAAATAGACCTACCTTCAAGCTAGTCGTCATCATTTCAAGACTCTGAAGGCTTTGCAATTTGGATGTGAGTTTCGTTTTTTTGTTTGTTTGTTTGTTTGTTTGTTTTTGTTTTTTAAAGAATACATTCATTCCATAATCCAATTCACACACTGCATATAAATCCATAGTAAGCAAGGCCTGAGGAATGTGTGTCTTCACTCCCTAGCCCTTGAGCTAACAAAGGAAGAAGTGGATTGGCCTTCTGTGGATTGTTACTGTTTCAATTGGGGGGAGGGTTCCAAAAACTTCAAACCTAATGTTGATTTATTGACTCCCACATGTTTCCTAAGCTATGCTCACATACTTCTATATTTAATACTATTTGAATTAAACTTTCAAGCCCTTTCTCTGCTTCAGCACACACAGGTTTTGTGTTCTTTATAGCAAAGGGGAACCTCAGGGTGTTATTTGTTAACCTAGCCGTTTGGATGTTTGGAGTCGTCTCTGTTCTGCCAGCTTTCATTTCCATCGTACACATCTGTGGCAAAAGCTGGAAGAATTCATCGAAACTGCCCACCGCTCTCTGACTTGTGCACGCTATGAAAACACATTCCAGTGTGAAAAATTCTGCGTCTGTCCACAGCACTTGTAAAAGCCCTGATTTCCCAGCCCTGGCTCATTATCTACTTGGCTTCCAGATCCTTCCAAAGCCGTTAGCTTATCAAGACTATTTCCTAGGTTGGCTTCAAAAACCAAAGTGATTACCCCTAGGAAAGCAATTTCCTATTTGAATGAGAAAAGATTGATTGTAAACACCTGATGAACACTCCAGAATCTACTCCAGGGAAAAATCCAAAAGCACTTCCAATGGACTCCCTCCAGCAGTTTAAGGTAATTGGCGATACAGAAGACAGCTGGTAGAGCCCCAGTGAGAGCAGAGTCCCTTAACTTCTGGGGACCTTTGTAAGAGAAGCTGTCACCTCAGCAAACCTGCTATTCCTAGTTTTCCTATCATAGAAACTAATTTCTTATCCAGCTAAGTAGGGATAAAACCTTCTATCATAAAACTACAACACAGACTTGATTTTAAGAAATCTGTGATGCCATTGAACTGGGGAGGATTTGCCATGCACAGAGAGTTTTTCTTATTAATTCCTGTTTCTTTAGTTGAGTATAAATTGCCAGAGACCCACCAGCACAGCTCTTCCCTCAGTCCCTTGAACTGAGCTCTCATGTGCCTGTCCTTACTTTATTTTAGTCTGGCCATTATACATAAATCTTAGCCTTCCTTTAATCCTGGACATCGCAGGCTGGCACTTAAAGCTTTTGGCCTTTGGCCAAATTTAAATCCGGCTTATCAAATGAAATTATCCTACCTGCTCTTTTTGCAACTATGCCAACCTGCTTGTTCTGATAACAGTTAAACTTGGGTTTACTTCAGACCAACTTACCTTGTAATTGTGCATTTGTGAACTTGGGTCTTGACAGCCATCTCAAAACCGGAAAATAACCTGTGGCAGGTCTTTGTCTCCTGGCCACACCTACCTGGCAGAACTCTGATGGAGCTTTCTTGCTGTTATCGATCCTGCTTAATATAACTTAGCATCTGTCCTGCCGCCCTGGATCCCAAAACAGCTTCCAGCTGCTGATCTAGCTGGATAGCTTTGGGAAACAATCTTGAATCTACACTCAAAGTCAAGTTGTTTTTCTCTTCTCTTTTTGGTTTTTTGAAACAGGGTTTCTCAGAGTAGCCTGGGCTATCCTGGAACTCAGTCTGTAGAACAGACTGGCCTCAAACTCAGAGATGGGCTTGTCCCTGCCTTCCAAGTGCTAGGATTAAAGGCATGCGCCACCACTGCCTGGCTTGTTTTATTATTGTTTTGTGGTGGTGTTTGTTTTGATTTTTTGAAACAGCCTCACTATGACCTAGGCTGGCTTGGGCCTGGAACTCAGGATCCTCCTGCCTCAGTTTCCTGGGATTAAACGCATGCACCACCATGCCTGGCTTAATATTTACTAAAACTTTAAGTAAATATTTAATGCTGAAAGACTGACTTCTGATTTGCTTCCTGTTTGTAGCTTCAGCTTTGGATGGTTGACCTTGTATTCTAAAGGGCACATCAGCACTCACAAATGCTGTGCTGTACTGACTGTTAAGTGATTTGGTTTTCTACATTCTAACTAAAACAGCCTTAGGAACTCTCTGATTGCTGTATTAAATTGAAAGATCCTTTTTAGAACCCAGGAGAAGCTTAAATATTCTTTAAAATTTACGTGTGTGTGTGTGTGTGTGTGTGTGTGTGTGTGTGTGTATGTCTGTGTCTGTGTGTGTGTCACAGGTATGTATGTGGAAACCAGAGGAAAACTTATGAAATATGTGTCTCTCCTCCCACTGTATGTATTCTAAGATCTAACTCAGGTCCTCAGGCTCAGCAGCCAGTGCCTTTACCTGCTGACCTACTTTGTTTTCTGTTGCTGTGATAAACACCCTGACCAAAAGCAACTTGAGAATAAAAGCATTTACTTAGTTCATATTTACAGGTTACAGTTTCATCACTGAGGGAAGTCAGTGTAGGAACTCAAGGCAGAATCTATAAAGTAAGGCTCATTCACTGGCATATGCTCCACGATCTCATATGGCCCAGGCTGACCTGCCTAGGGATGGTGTCGCCAACAGTGGGCTGTGCCCTCCCACAGCAATTGTTAACGAAGACAGTTTCTCAGACATATATCTGCAGGCCAACCTGATCAAGGAAGTTCGTCATCAATTGGGTCTCTTTCCAAGAGATTCCATGACTGAGTGTTTTGTTTTTTTTTTATGATAGTGAATCCAAATTATTCTTTTTTCTGTGAATACCATAGTGAATTCTTTAAAAGCTTTTGTGAAATAAAATAGTGCCAAGTAGAGTCAGCAGTCCAATTTAATGGGTTTTCAGTATTTTTTCTGAGTATTAGGCATTTAGTAAAGTGGCTCCCAAAGTTAACTATAAATTTACTATAAAACCATCAAAATATCACTTTTCTGTTTGTTTCAAAATTTTAGAGTGTGATTCAAAACTTAAGAAGCATTACATACAAAGAGCCAAGATGTTCTTCAGAGAAGCTGAATGACAGGAAGGAGACAGGGTCTTGATGTTCAGATAATGTGACAGTGGTAATGTTAAAGTCTGTCACAACAAGAATAATCAGAATGAGTAATTCGATAGAGCCCAATCTAAAAACAGACCTTAGTACATATAACAGTTTGTGACAAATGACCATTTAGGTTGACAATAGAAAGATATGTTGACTAATGGATATTGGACAACTGATTCACCTGGAAAATAAAAAAAAAAGGCAGATTTCCGACTTCACTTCTGGAGAGTTATTAAAGCTTTAAATACATAAAAACAGTAGAAAAAACTCTGCAATCTAGAAAATGTATAAAAAGTAAGTAGTGAACTACAAAAAAAAAACCCAAAACATTAAAAATGCCTGATTACATAAATTTGAAAAAAATCTAATTTTTATTAAATTAGTAAAATAGATATTTTTAAATAATAACCCCAAAGGCCACAGAGATTATGGAAAAATAAGTAAATACGAAGTAGTAATTTTATGGAGGGCAGGTAGTGAATATACCCACAGCTTTTGATATGTGTGAACACTTAGAGTAGGTGTTTCTTCTAAGGATTTATGCTAAGAAAAATATTTAAGTGTTCAATGTATCTGTAAGATAATGGTGAAAGTGGAAGTTAGTAAGTCAATTAAATATGGTGTATCTACCGTTGAAGTTTGGTCTGATGCTATGTATTGTAATGCTAAATTCTATACTCGAAGGTCTAGGCTCTTGTTGTGCAAACCTTGTTCCTTGATTTAAAACTATTGGTTAAATAAAATTGATTACAGCCAATTACTGGAGGGACTAGAGATAGGTGGGTTTGGGGTGTGACCTGGTTGAAAGAGGAGGGACAGGTAGAAGGGGAGGGAGGAAGAACCCACCATGAGGGGAGAGGAACCATGAATACATGGCCAGGAGAAACAGCAAGTATCTGGGGTATACCTGGGGAGGTAACCAGGCCTACAGAACCAGGCCTACAGTTAGAAGAGTAGGTTAGGGGTGACCCCCCCCCCCAGTAATTGTCAAAGCCAAATAAAATAACTATAACCTGAGTCTCATTTATTTGTAAGCTAGTCAGGGATAAGCTTAAATTGTTTTTGCTACAATCTATACTTGATTTCTAAACACTGTTACCAAGTGAAGTGTGTGTGTGTGTGTGTGTGTGTGTGTGTGTGTGTGTGTATGTATGTGTGTGAAGAAATGGTAGGGAAAATATCAGATTTCCTGGAGGGGAAAAAAAAAGGTGCTCCCAAAATGATGGGCAAATTTCAAGTGGGCATGGGATACAGTTTAAAAGAGTTTGCTCAGTGGAAGGAGAGATGGCTCAGTGGCCAGGAGTGCTTTCTATCCAATCATGAGGATGTGAGTTTGGATCCCAGTGTTCACGTAAGCCAAGGTCCTGCGTATGCCTGTGCTCTCAGCGCTAGAGAGGATGGAGCTGGAGGATCACTTGAGTCTCCTGGCTAGCATGCTGCCTAGCTGTAGCAGCAGTGATATACTACTATCCAAGGAAGTAAAGCAGAACCTGATACAGCAGGACACAGAAGATGTCTATCTCTGGCTTCTGCATACAATGTGCATACACTGCACATGCATACCTACAAGTAAGAAAATGAATTA